TACAAGAACGAACTCTTCAGAAAAATCAGGAACCTGCAACACAGGAGGTGTTGACAATGCTGCTTTCAGCTGGTCGAATGCAGTTTGCTGGCTCTCACCCCAGACAAATTTAGCGTTCTTACGCTTCAAGGCATGAAGGGGCTCCGCTACTAACGATAAATTCTGCACAAATCGTGCATAGAATCCTGCCATTCCGAGGAAACGGCGGACCGCCTTTAGATTTTTAGGCGTCGGAAATTTCTGAATTACTTCCACTCGTTCGGGCAAAACCTTCACTCCTTGAGCCGACAGAGTATGTCCCAAGAACTTAATCTCGGACTGGGCTAAGTGAACTTTGTTGCGATTCAAAGTAAAACCTGCTTTTTCCAAGCGTCGAAACACTTCCTTTAAGTGTTCAAGATGTTCGTCGAGATTTTGAGAATAAACTACAAGATCTTCCATGAAATTATACACAAATTTCAGTTTAATATCACCAAACAATGAATCTACCACGCGACATAAGGTTTGACAACCAACACTAATCCCCATGGGCAATTTAGTGAACTCAAATAAACCAAAAGGAGTACAAAAAGCAGTAGCCTTCCTGCTTTTAGAGGACAATGGAATTTGGTAGTATGCAGAATTTAAGTCTAAAACCGAGAAAACCTTAGCATTGGAAAAAGTATCAAAAGCATGCTCAACAGATGGCATAGGGAATGCATCAAAATGACTTTTTTGTTCAACAGTCGGTAATCAATCACCATACGGTGAGATCCACTTGGTTTTGGAACCAAGAAAGCAGGACTAGCATACTGAGACTGACTCTTCTTCACCACCCCTTTATCCAATAAATCCTGAACGGTTTCTCTTAAAATTTTTAATTTAGGCGGAGCACACTGATACGGCCTACTCCGGACAGGAACCTCATCCGTCAAATCAATATTACATACCATTCCTTTAACGGTACCTAATTTCTCAGAAAACAACTGGGGAAAATTTGACACAAGATTTTCTATCTTCTCAGCATCGAACGTAGGCAGACACTGACATACGAACTTGTCAAAGACATCCACAGAACATGGCAAAACATTAAACTGCTTCCTGCAAGATTCCAAAGGTAAAAACTTAAATTCCTTATCAGGAGCGAAACCAAAACTATAACTATGACTTGCAAAATCTAACCTTACTTTTGCATAAGACATAAAGTCTACTCCCAAAATGCAGGGCACGGGACACTGGTCAAAGACCAGGAACTTATATTTCCAAGAAAAGGACTGAATTTTGAATGAGCACACCACGGCCTGTGTCATCTTACAAGATTGACCATTTGCCATAACACAATTTAGGAAGCTGAAAGAAAATTGTCTTACTTGTTGCTTTAACGTGTATATATATCTTGTTCAGAGCTCTCGGATGGTAGATGGAGGTTGCCTATGCCTCACTACAATGTCGCACTTTGTTAGGGACATCTCATTACTCTCACTGTCGAGCACTTTCAGCTTTAATTTACTTTGTCAGGTACCTGTACAGTATCTTTCTCAGAATCAGGTTTACACGGGAAGGAATCCATAGTGCATCCTCTGTTTACTTGAACGTATTTGGGTCTTCATACAACTGTCTAGCTCTACCTAGTCCTCCAGAGAGACCCCAACAATTACAAGTGTGACATTCACACGTCAAACATCCCGCGCTCTTACAATATAGAAATCCTAAATATCCCTATATCTGCATTACCCACCTAGAATCGTACTAGAGGTTAATGCACATTGCTGAGGAATGTCGATGCTTTGTTGTCTGTACAGGTGGACTTTGTGGCCGTAAGTGTAAATTCCGAATTTCTCTAGGGCATAAGGAATTGCCGACAGCTGCTGTTCTGCCATGATTAAACGTCGTTCAGTTTGGCTCAACACGAGCGACGCTGTCGATACTAGGTGCATCTCACCTTGCAGATTGTTGCTCGCGTTCGTGTTTATTGCATATGGCAATGTTGCGTCCGGATGTGCGAATTTTCCTCAGAGCACCTCAGACATCTTTGTCAGGTCATCAGTCTATTTTCATTTGTTTCCCTATTTAAACAAATAAAGTAAGGGTGCTACGTAACTGGCATGATTTACGAAGAATCTGTGATGGTAGTTGCACACACCTAGAAGCTGATGCAGTTGACAATGGAAGACTCATAAATTTGTGCGTCGCTCTTTTCTGGTCCGAAAACTTGGTCGAATCTAAACACACGGCCTGTCCCTTCTACCTTGATCTGTGGTTGATCAGGCAGAACAGACAAACAATTTCTGTCGTTATTTTCAGTTTCGCTTGCATTTAATGGATGCTTCCCCATGACCTGCTCCAGTCCCAGGTTCTCTGATCTGACCTTGGCGTTTAGATCCCCCATAACCATCAGGATGTCCTTGCTGTAGCTCTTTGTGGTATCTTGGAGCTGCGAGTAGAATCTTGTCTTCAGGTCTCCATTTGCCTCTTCGATGGGAGCGTAGCATTGCACGATGGTCACGTTCCTCACTCGTCCCTTGAAGCTTGCGGTCATGAGCCTTGATGAAACGGGCTTCCAGTCGATGAGGTTGTTCCTTGCTCTCTTGCTAAGCAAGATTCCAACTGCTCCTTGATGTGGGTCCTCTTCGTTTTGCTGTCCAGAGAAGAGCAGGGATTGACCCTCTGATTCCCTTGCTTGTAATCGCAAAGTATTGAAGCCTTCCGTCAGCTCCATACATTTCTTTGAGATCTCTAGATTTGCCTTAAGATGACTGCTCATGGCTTCACGATTCTCTTCTTTCAATCTCATGTTTTCTATTTCTGCCGTCTTAAGACGGCGAGTGAGACTAGTGATATTAGCTTCAGCAGCAGTCAACTTTTCACGAAGATCCTGGATTTCTTGTTTCAAATCATAAATTTCCTCGTCTTGAGGATATTCGTATGCAACTGGTTTAATTTCAATTCTTTTTGTTGATTTAGCCCATTCTAATGTTCTTACACTCTCCTTCTTAAACCTGTGTGATGGGCTTACACAAGCAATCGTTAAACATTTCCCTTTTAATAATGCAAATTAAATATCAAATATGAATTCACTTAACATACATACCTCCATAAAAGATAGCTTAATTGTGAAGTGACGATCCTCGACTTCATTTAATCTCACCAAAGATACCATTTATAGCCAGTGGTATAATGCCCACATTGCCACCTGAAGTGTCTGTTGTACCCAATGTATATGTTCTACCAGATCCAGTTTGTCCATATGTAAAAATTGTTACATTGTGACCTGAAATTGAGAACATTTTACAAACCAAACTTTGAAATGTTAGTTACCAAAACTGACAAACAACTGATGAGGCAGTAACTTCAATATGCCATTCTTCATTTGCTTTAGGGCTGCAATTATTTCCTCCTTGGTGGGGGGGGGGGAGGCTCCATATTAATGGGAAGCTCTTCTCCTAGGTCCTGTCAGTGTCTTCGGGCTGCTCATCCTCTCTTTTGAGAACTTCTTTCAAGTGCTGGTGCCATCTGTCCACTTGTGCCTGTTCGTTGGTTAGCAGTTCTCCCTCCTTACTAATAGTTCTGACTGGAGATTCTGGATCTGCTGTTTCAATTCAGCAATGTGTTCGAATTCCGTTGTGCTCTTTCCATCCTAGTTCTTTTGCCTTTGCATACATCGTATCGTATCTACAAATTCTCTGGAGTGTCATTATCTCATCACATACTCTGTTGATGTAATCTTCTCTCGCCTTGTCTGTTTCTCTTCTCAGTTCGTTGTTCAGTCTTTGATATTTCTGTCTTCCCTCTTCACTGTTGATATTCTTCCATCTCCTCCTCTCATCCATCTTATCGAGCATAGCCTGTGTAATCCATGCCTTCCTTGGTAGCCTTTCCATCCTACCAACCTTTTCTTCTAGTGCCACTGTTAGGCACTTCTTAACATTCGTCCATTCCTCTTCAACGCTTTCGCCTTCACTTTCACTTGATTTTCCTTCCAATTCTGCTCTTACTTTGTCTTGCGCGCTCTTCATGTCCCATCTCTTCATCCTCACCCCCCTACTCCTGATTTTCTTCATTCTGGTGCTGACATTTGCAACTAACATTTTGATCCGAGTCGATGTCCGCTGATGGCACTGTTGTCACATCCTTTACGCTATTCCTAAATCGTTGCTTCACTAAGATATAGTCTATCTGGTATCTGCTCCTGTCTCCTGGGCTTTTCCACGTATACAATCTCCTGTGATGCTTCTTGAACCAGGTGTTGGTGATTACCAGTCCATTTCTTCGGCAGTTTTTTCGATGTTGGCATGTACACCTGCATTATCAGAATATCCACTGGTTCTGCATTCAACTTGATATACATCAATCTGTCACTACACGCTTGCACTTTGATTACACTTTTCTTGATCCATTTCTGCATCACTATTGCAACACCTCTTTCAGCACTCTCACCTCCCGAGTAGTACATAAGATAGCTTCCAGACTCTAAATCACCTTGATCCCTCCATCAAACTTCACTGACACCCACAATGCACACATTATTTTTATCCATTTCGATCTTCAGATTTTCCAGTTTTCCTCCCTGTTGTAGTGTCCTGACGTTCCACGTTCTTATGGTGAATTTCCCAAAAGAATTCTCCTGCCTCATACCTTCTCCCGAGACAGTCCTCGCCCGGAGGTCCGAATGGAGGACTAGTTTACCTCCGGATTGTTTTGTCTCTGGTGAAAGCATCATGCACATTGTGACTGCTCCTGTTGGTCAGAATCTGTCCTGGAAAAAAGTAATGTGGAAGTTTTTCCATTTGCTTTCCACATCACAGTACCACAACCATTAAAGCTGCTCCAGCCATGCTTGTCGTAATCCAGCCTCGAACCGGTCCAGGATCATTTCCTTTACGTTTGAAGTTGGTAATAGTGGTCGCTGCTGCCCTCCACTATGCTAATATTTGTCCGCCCCGGGTATTTGATTTCCCCAGTACCACCCATACCACAAAAGAGTTTGTACTCACCTATACACTTCCTAACGCACGCACACTATCACCAAACTGAACAGTCTATCCTGCTACTGCAAGTACTTGTCCGCATTCCCACTACGCGGCGCTAAGCAGTAAATCACGCATTCCAAAAATTGTAATAGTGTCTGTCTAACTGTTCATTGCCGGTACTTGGTTCTCTACTCGGCCAGTCCAGAACCTCACTTTCCCCTTCTGATTCGTCAGCTACTACTCTCTTACTGCGGAGGGTCCTCCCCGTCATTTTGCTTACTGACCTAGTATCGGCGTTCTTTGCCAACCTTGGAGTAGCGATGCAGTCGTTGCCTGGTGGTGTAGCGGCAGTGCCACCGCGTTACTTCCTCTCGCTCGCTCGGTAGCCAAAGCAGAAATTACTTTTTGTAGATGAAGAAGATCAATGTTAATTTGTATACCTTCTTCTCTTATTTGATCAGATACTTCAGTATGTGCAAAAGCTTCAGACCCTGCTAGATCCACTAGATGGAACTTTGCAGGCTGAGATGGTTTTCTGCACACAGAATAAATATTATATTGCTGTCAGTACCAAATAAATAATCTTGGGATCAGACAGAGATATCATGTGGCATGAATTGGACACACAACAACCAAGTCTAAATGTAAAGCAAACCAAAACATGGGACTGGCGGATAACGAAGTGAAAAAGTTTGGCTATGAAGTATCCTCATATAATCAGAAGCCAACGACCTACAAACTTTCTCTGCCAAAATTTCCCTTTCAATAACATTTCATATTTCTGAACAATAAATCCACTATCCAGCGCAAGGCTTCTAATCAGATGCTATGACATCACAAACAGAAACACTCGGAGAGAAAATGTAGTTTTGTGTAGAAAATTAAAATCAATAATTAGACTGCCTCTTGTTCCCTATATCCTGAGTAAATGCAATTTTCATAGTTCTCTGCTTCCACATACAAAATGCACTTCCTACTTTGTGTTACTCCTCTCCTGTGACAGACACTGGGTTTGCTTTTAAAAGAATACACATATTTTATACATGCGCGCACACAGGTAAAATGAAAGAGTGGGGGGTGAAAGCTCTGCAAGTACAAGCAAAAGAAAAATGACCCGAAGAATAACTCTCACTGAGATACGTTATCCAAGACAGTGAACGTGTGAGCAAAATGGGGACCATCGGTAGGTAACGGTCCAAAGTGGGATGAAAGGACTATTTAGAGGCATTTCATTCACAAGAAAACAATTTAGTAGAAATTAAAGCAGATGAAGAAATATGTCTCACACATTTCATACATACTACTCACTCATTTCCTCGTGGCAGCTTTTGAACAGTAACTGTGAAAATAGCATGACTGCGACTAGACTGTGCATTCATGGCAGTTGCTCTGCGGGAAAAACCCTGTGAAAGTAATACAAGGCTCTGTACGATTTTGAGTTTTTCATGGCGGTGAAGAGGATGATCTTAATCTTCTAGGGTTTTGGCACCATGTAGTCTTGTTGATCGATGGTAACGTCTCGAAGAAACACAGTCACCACATTCAGCCCTTAAGATGGAGATGGCATCTTACTTTGAAATGGTGTCATCTACCAACAAACCTACATGATACCAAAATCCCCGAAGATGTCATAATAAATGGCTTTGTTTACTTGTTATGGACTTATAATTTCTAAGTATGTATTTATTTCAGGTATTCAATCAAAATAATTATTCCAACATCAGTCTATTCCATTCCTAGAGCCCAGTGGCAGGCCCTTGTAAACATAATAATGAACCATTGGATTCCACAAAAGATGAGAAATCTCCGAATACCTGAGTCACTATTAGTTTCCATTAAGAGTCAATTACATTAAATTTTTATTTAAAATTCTATCCCAATAGACTAAACCACCCATTTATGACTCCTGGGCACTGTTTCCTGTATTTTTTACTCAGTTTATTTACATTTCCTGTTCACGCAGAAATCTGTCTTGAGTTATGACTGATTATTATATTACATGTAGTGTCTAATTCTGTTCTATATCAGCAAAGCAAAAGATATCATGGATGAATACGCAGAATCTTCTGGCTATGTGACAATGTTTCAGAGAAACATACTGCCCTCATCATCAGGAATTACAAAACAAGTTAATACTTAAATATGTGCCTACAACCCTCACAGCCATCAGCTGCATAGAGGCCACAGAAAGAAATGCCGTGAGTTGTAAGGATAACAACACCTGATAATTCCTTCTGTATTTACCTCAGGCCACCTCCAGCACATCACCTGATGCTAGCAAACATTAACACTAAAAAGGAATAAGTCCAACAGTTTGAGAAAAAAATGTGGAATGGCAGTTGATATTTCTTTCCATGCCTTCGGTGCAGTCAGCTTCGTTACAAGGAATAAGGAATTTTAAAACATTAATTTATTTAGCATAGGAACTGAAGTATGAAGAGAGAAATACCTTGAAGACAAGAGCAGATTCAACCAGCAATATGTAATTTAATATATCGTACCTTTCGTAGCCATTCGGTGGCGTCAGCTGCAGAAGTTACACGTTTTTCCATCAGTTTTTTCAAGTTATACATAGTTTATAATCTACATCTAAAATAAATTAAATAAATTACATTACTGATTATTCAGTGTTTATCATAAAATAATATTTTTTTTAGTTCACATATCCCTAAAATGTCTTCACGTACCCCCAGGGGTATGCGTACCGCAGGTTGAATACCACTGATCTAGAGAGTGGCCTAGATTGGATCTAGCTTGGTTATTAGTTTTAATTTGATTTTCCTTTTATTTTGTTCCTTGTATTTTATTAGTGTTCTTTTTATCAAATTTGTATCTTTGTATTAGTGTTTGCCTGTCATAGGCTCTTTGCTGTTGGCATTAATATTATTATTTAGACCTCATTTCTTATATTTACTTTCTGTGCTGACTGCATCTTATTTTGTGGTATTTAATTTTATATAAAAAAATTCTGTTTTTATTGTTTAATGTTTATATTTAGTATTATTGAATTGTATTAGGTATCGTATTTAGCCCATTTACGTGTGAAATATTATTCAATAAATCTATTGAATTATTATTCTGTTTTTTATTGTTTGATGTTTTTATTTAGAATTATTGAATTTAATTATATTACTTAGGTATCGTATTTAGCCCATTTACTTGTGAAATATCATTCAATAAGTGAATTGAATTATTGTTATTATTAATGTGGTACAATTATATATTTAGTTTTGTTTGTTTTTATATTTGTAATGTTTTACTTCATTATTATTGCAATGAATTTAATTATTCATCATATTTTATCCTGTACTCTGGTTTAGTGCTTGGCTGTTGTTGAGCACTTATATATAAATGAATTGATTTGAATTTGTGTCCTTTAATTTTTTATGAGAACCGAATGTTTAATTCAAAATAACGAATTGGGTTGTTGATCGTGGGAGACTTTCAGTGTATTAACTATCTACCATTAGGATTTGAGGGTTATTTCAGAATAAACTGTGATCCTATGGGTCATTCTGCTATAACTATATCACTTTAACAATTGTCCAGTTGTTTACTTTTGCCACAGGAACCAAGCCATCGTCCATTCAAGGGTCGACAAAGTAACACAGTGGTCTTATATACATGCAAAAGAGACATCATGATACATCCATGTTTCACCATTGCTGTAATATGCTGTTAAATATAATCAGAATATAAATAATTGTAATTGCATGACAATAAATATGATGCATAACTTCAATATAAATTATGAAAATCAACCTGCTAGATGAACACTTGCCTGCAAAATGGCTTGACAATCTCACTAGTTGCTAAGTAGAAGGTGAGCCCGAATGTGATAGAAATGCTTTCTTAAAAATGTCTATTAACAGCAATGTGAGGCACAGACCCTGCATGATTCAAGAAACTCCTAGATTTATTTCCTCTATTTGTTTAATGACACTTTATCATCTATGAGCTGGCAATGGGAAGGTAAACTGCCATCCCCAAACAAATGTCTAAGTGCACCATTGCTCCAAATTCATCTACCACTGCCCCAATACGCATACAGTAGCCCTGACTATTATCATACCCTCCAAACTAAGTTAGGGGCTTAACCAGCGCTTGGCTGGTCTTGGAGTTAAGATAGTTTACAGTTATAATGATCATTATTTCATCACAACTGATTGCCATCTGACCTCTTCTCTTATATCAGTAGCTATAATGGTACCAGCCTTTAACACTTTTAATAAGGATGGTAACAAAGCAGGAGAGAGTAGTATTCCAGTCACCATAGGATGATGCCTAGCCAACCAGAAAATGAAGTCTCCTAGACCAAGTTTCACGCCACCTGCAAAAATGCACAGTGTAACTAATTCCCTAATTTGTTTGAATATGACTATTTTACTAAAAATAATGTTTACTGCATTTCTGTGTTCGATCCCAGCTTCACAAGAATATCCATCTGACTACCGTACCTTTCAAAGAGCATTATGTGAATTTTTTTTTTAAAATATCCCAATGTTTTAAGGTAACTCAAATCTTTATATTCAGGAGTGACTATAATTATTATAATTCACAAATAATTATACTCATATTGACTAAATTCAAAACTGCAGGCTTTGAATTATATAATCTCAGGCCTTAGAACAACTTGCATGATTCATGTATGCTCAACAATCAACAAGGGTCTCTCAAACATGTCAAAATTAGCAGGCTCATGTCTCTGAAAATACCTAAATGACTAAACCTCCTATATTAAATATTTATATATAAATATATATTTGTATATTGAGGTTTTCATGGCAGTGAGTCTGAAGATTGCTGTCTTCTGGGTTGTTGCGCCATGTAGATGATCGCCCTAATGATGGAGGCAGCATGGACCTCTGAAACGGTGGACATCGACCAGACTACACAGCGCAACAACCCAGAAGACAGACATCTTCATACTCTGATGACGGAGGCAGTATGACCTCTGAAACGTTGGTTAACATCGACCAGACTACACAGCGCAACAACCCAGAAGACAGCAATCTTCAAATATATATTTAAAATAAAATGGACCATACTGCTACACAGTTGTATAAAATTTCACAACAATTTTCTGCATTCTACCACGAGTATAATTTGTTCCTTCCTTACAAATTAAAAATATCAGCCATCTTATATACTACATTATTTCAATGTCTTTATCATTCATATTACAAAAACTTATCTAAAAGCTCCCTAATAGTAGCAACATTTGTAAATAAAATACTTTGCCACATAGCAGACAGACAACTTTTAAACATCTATGAGTGCTACAAAACATCAAATCAGTATTTACATAATAAAAGAGTACTAGAAGCAATACATTTCTGACCTTTCTTAGATATTAATCGCAGATCCTATCTTTTTTTTAAAGTGGTGCATGTATCTACATACATTATCTGAGGCCTTGAGCAGAATTGAATCACACGTTCTTCCACTTCCACCTGTTGTTCATGTCCTTGCTGCTGTGGGAATGTTCTGTAATCTGAGACATGTCCACTAGATGCTTCCCTAACTTCCCCTTGCCTGCGGGCTGCATTTGCCTCGTGGTTTGAAACCCATTCACGAGAGAACCCGCTTTCTGAATCTGCGTCCGCATCAGGGATGGGGAAGGCAGGAGCATCCAGCAGTAGTAGTATTAGAGGTAGCAGCAGCACAAGTGGTATGACTAGCAGATTCTTGTTCATCATCACCAGCAATGCTTACATAACTGTACATGTATGTTGCTAGAATACAGAATATCCATTCAGATATTATGTTGCACATTTCAATCCATTCTTAAAGTCTTTATATTTAACTTCAATGGAGTATGTTTATAGGGTTATGGCCCAATTTACACTACTTTGTACAGTCAGTGGTACAAAAAATGACTTTACCACATTTAAATTTGATGACATGTTTATTTTTCATACAAGATACTTTCATTCTACAAATTACACTGCAATATGATAGTGTCTAATGCAGGGGTGGCCAACCCGCGGCCCGCGGGTGGCCCGCCTTGAACATTTTTTCGGGCCGC